GGGTTATCATGATGTTGCCTCAACACTTTACCTCTTAATTCACCTGCAGGTACATACAGCATCCCTCTCCTGTACAACAATCCACCTTTTTCCTTGAAACCTTCCTCTTCCCCTCTACCTTTTCTCAGTTCCTCCATTTTCTTTTGTGCAAACTCATCTGTTACTGTCAATTGCTGGAATTCCCTGTCGTCCACTACTACGGCTGCATACCCCCACTGATCCGATCTCAGCATTTCTCGCAACTTGGGAGGTGCTTCCCCTTCCATATACTCAGGTTTGCGCGATAGCGTGTCTGCACGAACATTTTGATGCCCAGGTATGTACTCAATCCTAAAATTAAACCCAGCAAAAAACTCCGCCCACCTAATTTGCCTTTGGTTTAGTTGTCTAGCAGTTCTCCAATACCCTAAATTCTTATGATCTGTTTGTACCACCACCTGATGTGACGCCCCTTCCAAAAAATGTCTCCACACTTTAAAGGCAGCATGCACAGCTAAAAGTTCCTTATCAAATATGGTGTAGTTTTGTTCTGATTGATTTAATTTTCTAGAGTAGAATGCACAGGGTCTCCAGTCCCCTTCCTTGTCCTGTTGCAGCAGAATGGCCCCAATAGCCCTATCAGAGGCATCAGTTTCTACCTTCATACGTTTACTTGGATCTAGATGCATAAGATATTTTTCTGAAGCAAACACCGCCTTTAATTTATCAAAGGCCTTCTGTGCTTCCTCAGACCATCTGAATGGCCCCTTGCCTCTTAGACAATCAGTCAGTGGCGTTGTGATTTTGGAGTAATTACCTATGAATTTACGATAGAAATTAGCAAATCCTAAAAACCTCTGTAGATCTTTCTTAGTTTTAGGTGCCTCCCATTCCACCACTGCCTGAACTTTACTGGGGTCCATGTGCACCCCTTTGTGGGAAATGCAATATCCCAGGAACTCCACCTTTTGTGTGTGGAACTTACACTTCTCTAACTTCACATATAACCTGTTGGTCCTCAATCTCTCTAACACCTGCGTGACATGTTTTACGTGTTCCTCCATACTTTCACTATATATTAAGAGGTCATCTAAATAAGAGACACAGAACTGATCCAGTATACCTGCTAAGACGTGATTGATGAAGGTTTGAAATACCCCTGAGCCATTTTGTAAGCCAAAAGGCATTACCAAGAATTCAAATGCACCATACTTAGTACAAAAGCTGGTTTTCCACTCATCCCCTTCTCTGACCCTTATCAGATTATATGCTCCTCGTAGATCAAGCTTGGTAAAGACTTTGGCTGACCTTACTCTTTCTAAGAGGTCATCTATATGTGGCAGTGGGCACACGCGAGGCTTCATTTGGCTGTTAAGGATTCTGAAGTCACATACTAATCTTGGTGCCCCTTCCTCCCCTTTCTTTTTGACAAAAAAGACAGGAGCACCCCCCGAGGCCATGGACTCTCTAATAAAACCTCTCTGCAAATTCTTTTGCAGGAACTCCCTCAATGCTGCAGATTCTACTTCCGACATGGCATATATCTTGCTTGGTGGCAACTGTGCCCCAGGGACCAGATCTATCTTGCAATCATAGGGCCTATGTGGCGGAAGTTTATCCGCTTCTTTTTCACAAAAAACATCGCGATAAGCAATATATTGTGACGGAATCTCACTTTCATTCCCCATCAACTTCCCTTCCACCTCTGTTCCCATTACTTCCACTGAGATTTTTCCCTTTTCCCCCAAACAATGTGTCATACAATAGATTGAACCAAAAACCAAAGACCTTTGATGCCAGGCAATCACCGGATTGTGATGATTGAGCCAACTTATGCCCAGCACCATCGGGTGCCCAGCTAGTTTGGTCACATGAAATGCCCTGGTCTCTGAGTGATGACCCATATCCATTCTCATTGGTGGAGTCTCGTAAGTCACTTCTCCTGACAGTAGCGGTCTGCCGTCGATTGTTTTCACTCGCAGTGGGAAATTCAAAGGTAACAAAGCGATTTTGTGTTCCTGTACCAATTTCTGGTCTATGAAATCTGCTGACGCTCCTGAGTCTAACAGCGCCTCTACCTGGACCCTATGTCCATTGGGTAGTTGTAGTTGCACCTTCACCGTTAGTCCTGGGATAGGTGGTTCCGCGTGAGAGCCTTCTATTGCTTCTCCACCCGGCTGCAAGCTCCCATTTCCAGCCGGGGACATTCGTTTCCCTGATGCAGTTCCTTCGGGCAATTTTCTTCTCTCATGTCTGCTCCAGATAGAGACTCCCATCCTTTACGATTGTGACATTGTCGTGCTAGATGCCCTGGTTTTCCACAGACGAAGCAAAGTCTTGTGTCTCTTCCTCTCCCTGCATTTCCTCTTACTATGGAAGTGGTAGTCACTGGGAGGGGTCTGGCTGCTCCTAATTCCATGGGCTCTGGCCGCTCTCGTCCTGGCACGTTGCCCGCTCTGCTCTCTGTACTTTCGATAATATTCTTTTCCTGCCACCGTGATCGCCATTGTTCCTTCTTTTCACTAGCCCTCCGTTCCACGCGTAGGCTCAATTGCAGGCACGTTCAGACCAGAGAGTCCAAGGAACTAGGTTCTGGCATTTGGGCCAATTGGTCTAAAATCTCATTATTCAGTCCTTCCCTAAAACGGGCTGCAACTGTTGGGGAATTCAGATCCCATTTTAATTTCTGCACCAGCAAACTAAAGTTGGACCAATAAACTCCCACAGTGTCTTTTCCTTGTCTCATTCTCAACAGCTGCCTAGCTGTGGTTATTTCATGCGCAGGGTCTAAGAAAATCGTGTCTAGATACTGCAGAAAAATTTGTAAATTTCCTAGGGCGGCATCCCTCCGAGATATTAGGGGTATAACACAGTCCTTAGCCCTCCCTTCCAAGAAATTAATCACATAAGCAACCTTCTCTTGCTCAGATTGAAATTCTTTATCCTTTATCTCAATTATGTAAGAAATTTCTGTCTTGAAAGCCATGTATTCAGAGCTTTCTCCCTTGAAGCTACGTGGACGTACAGTAAATGTTTTACTCACTCTATCTCCACACGTCGCTTGCAGCATGGTTCTATGTTCTCCCAATGCTGCCGATAGTACGTCGACTTGACTTTTCAATTGTAAGTTCTGTTGCCATAAGTCCTGTAATGTTAGCTGGAGCGCTGGGGTTTCTCCTTGCCCAACTGGCGCCACAGCTCCCTCCATTTTGGTTTCTCCTTCTTTACATATAGTGAAGAGGCGCAGAGCAGAAGGTATTCTGTCAGGACTGGTCGTTGTCCTCTTCAGATCACCACACAAACGCTTCTTGTTCTTTTATAACTTTTTATTGCGTATTAACAAAACAATCTTATAAACAGTTCTTAACTATTATTCCTCAAAGTCACTTATTTCAGATACCTTCTGAGCTCTGCTTCTCCATGACCAGCCACCCTCAAAATGGCGAAGGCGCCCTTCCCTTCGCTTTCCCGCTCTTTTTTCTAACCTCCTGGCTAGAGCTGGCCTGTATCTCCCCTCCTCCGAATCTGAGCTGGAACTTAACCCTTGCCTTTCCTGGGAACAGCCGGTCCCTCCCTGTTGTTCCTCTTGCTCTCTTCTCTTCAATTCACTGCTCTCCTCCCCCCCTTGGGGAATGCTTTCTCCCTCTGGGAAACTGGAATCTTCTAACTCTAACTTTTCCCTGACACTCAGCATAACTTTTTTAAGGATAACCCTGCCCTCCATAGAGAGAGAGGAAGCTCCTAAGAATGTCCTGGAAGCATCAAGGGCTAAAAGGGAAAAAGCAGAAAAAAGCTGGGCAGCAGAGGAATGCGATGGTCTTAGTTGGAACCAGTGTCTGAGAGGCAGGTGTAGAGTGTATGCGGAGATTGACACAAACACATGCTTAATACTGTGTCTTGGTGTAGTACAACAGAAGTATTATCTCACCCCACATGTCCTGTGTAGCTATAACCAAATAAAACGATACAAGGAGAGTCATCTGGGTTTCTCCAGCTCAGTAGGTGGTGGAGACAGTCACTCTGCTGACCACAAAGGGGAGTTTGGACTCAGCCAAGGGGTGGAGCACTAGGCTTTGTGACCTCCAAGAGGGCCAAGGATGAATGGGAGGCTCTAGGCCCTCATTCCAGAATATTAATAGAGGCAAAATAAATCCTACTTGCATTTTTAACATTGTGAAAATTGTCTCTAGTAAGATAATTTAGAAACAACAACAACCTGAATACTCTACCTACCTAAATACCCACCTAAGCAGGGCCGACAGATGACATTTTGCCGCTTGAGGCAAAATGGAAAATGGCACCCACATCCTCCTCTTCCACATGAAGTGTGCTGAAGGCAGGGGAGAAAAAATGAGGCTGGAGAAGAGAAGGTGGTGTGAGCAGTGTGCTCCCTGGGGCAGAAGAGGAGGGAAGAGTCTCAGTGGGCAGGCAGCGATTGAGGTTCCTCAGACCCGCCAGCCCTCTCAACTGTCCCCAGCTTGCTGCCTGAGGTGACTGCCTCAGCAAGGCTCATGGGCCCGCCAGCCCTGCCCTTAAGCTGACACCACTCATCCCCTACATCTAACCCTATTATAAATAAGCATGTAAATGGCAAAATAAAGATATAAAACAAATCATAATAGTTCCATGTTGCTGATGGCAAGCTAGGCACCACTTGCATTTGTACCAATGCTTTCTTCTGTTAAAAAGAGGGTGTGCTGAGAATCCTTGGCCACCTCATCGTTAAAAGTAAGCCCACTCCACTTCAGAGTTCTGAGCATTTTTACCCCCATACACTGAAAGTTGGCAATATTCCCTCCATTCATGGAGTGGGCTCCAGTCACAGACTGACTCTTCAGATTTCCAGTGGGACAAGCTGTGATGTGCATGGTGTGCTAGAGCTTTCTGAATATGGGTACTGATGAAACCATTTCTTTTGAAAATAACCTGGTTATCTTGTTTCCCTGTGAATAATTAGCTTCAAAGAGGTGGATAGGTGGATATGCTTAGATAAACTTTGAAGGTTATAAAGAGCCATCATGAAAGAAAGGAAGGAAGGAAGGAAGAAATCTGGTGCAAAGGCGAGCCCATTACAAGGATGACAGGTGTGCTGTTAAGTTTGGTGTTGACTTCCTTATACTTGCTTCAAGCTTCAGACAGCATCGACATTCAGCCAGACCTCGATGTTCAAAAGGTAACAGCTCTTGTGCCTTACAAATGCCAGTTTTGCAGGACTGTGGCAACAAGATAAGTGTTCAATTTCTCCCTTTACTGCAACAGTTCAAGGCGTCAAGTCAATAGCGAGGCAATAATTTGGCACTGCCATTTGGGGGCCTTGAATTTTGGGGCACAATGCCCACCTGCCTTTGGCTGCTTGCCTGAAAGTAGAATCAGATAGAATCAGAATCAGAAGAATCTTTATTTGCGTCAGTCACTAGTCATAGCAATAAAATAAAATAAAATGTACAGAAGAAAGAGGTAAAAACTTAACTATACAAAATATATTTTGGAGGTTTACATCAATAATCAAATAATAGATCTTATTCTAATTGCCCCCGCTAAAAACCTTGCAGTTTTTGCTGTCATCTTGATCATCTAAAAGAAAGGACACAGTTGCAATGGTTAAGCGACCAGGCATAGACAATAATAGAGGAATAATGACTTCACTCCTCAAATCATTATAAATAGAATGCAAGTACATGAGCCACTGACTCAATACTGCCATCTCCACCTGGATATAACCATTTTTCCAGTGGAATTTTTTGAAATTGACCCTCAAGTACAGTCGTAGACAGTATATTCAATCTTGCAAAAGTGAAAGCGTGTCTGTATTTTGGAATTGTTAAATTTTGCAGAATAGGGTGCCAAAATGTCAAGGTGGAAAATAATCATACCATGGATAAAATGTCCTTATTGTGGCCAAATTATTCAGTCGCTCGATATTATATTAAATTATTTGCTTTACTGAAGCCCAGTGTTAATAACTGTTCTGGTGATAAACCAGAAAAGTAAAGCTTTTGGTTGACAATTTTAGTCCCAGCGCTCTCATGACAATCTTGTGATACAAAGTGTAGTAGACCAGTGGGGTTTAAATTTAGGCAAAGCCAATAAATAAATGTCCTACACCAAATCTGTAATTCTAAGTGCAATGAAGCATTTGGAACAAAGAATGGAACAGAAAAAAGTTGCTTTAGGATCTTAGATTGAACATTCATGTGCCTCTTGTGGCTGATTTGTGATCTCAGACTAAAGCAGCATTTCATTTCTCTTCTCTTCTCTTCTCTTCTCTTCTCTTCTCTTCTCTTCTCTTCTCTTCTCTTCTCTTCTCTTCTCTCTGCTACGCAACCACAGCATGATGTCAGAAGGAGATGCGTCTACATGGCATCTTCCTCCACATCATTGCACAGTAATCTTTATTGCTTTTCAAATAACACACAACTGAAACAAAGCAAAACCTATCTATAATGTGAAGGGTAAAAGTGCTGTGATGCAGAAGAGTAGAAACACAGTTTTACACTTTTCACATATTTTTTCTGGGAAGAGAAAAAGACCACATTTCCAGTAACTGTAAACTCTGTGATAGATAGAAAGAGGGAGGGACACTGAAATTGTGGTGCTGTGTGTGTATGTGTGCTGGACACACACGAGAGAGAGAGAGAGAGAGAGAGAGAGAGAGAGAGAGAGAGAGAGATTAGTGGATAAGTGACACGCAGTGGCCCTTACCTACCTCTGGTTGGAGAGCTGTAAAAATTCCCTTTATTGCCATGGCTGAAAAATACATAAATCCTAAAACAGGCCACCACATCAGTGACGCCATTTTCCCTTTGTACAGAGGATCCAAGAAGGTCATAAGCTATGTGAGAGAGTTCTGTTTGCATCCTCTGATTCTTCCAAGCTAAGGTATCTTACACTAGTCGAGGTGCCTTAAGGAAAGGGGGGAAAAACAGAGTGGGCATTGCTGCCTGGAGTGATGCGAGTGGAAAGATGATCATTTCCCTCCATGCATTTCTGAAAAAAACACACTATACCAACTTCTTTTTCTAGTTGGCTGGAAGATGGACTCTCGTTGCACTGGTGCTAGATAGAGGTGAGCCAACGCATTACAACAGACATCTTATTACAGTGGAACCTGAAAACAATGGAGAAATGGTTTATGTAGCAGAGGCTTATCAGTAAGTTCTCTTGGATTACTTTGATCACTACCTTTCTTTGTGCTTCAAGATTCATGAATACACATTTCGAAGTGGGGTAATCATTAAAATTTTAGAGTCTTGACAGCTGCAATTCTGCAAGTTTGTAGGGACAGAATATTATGCATGTTGAAAGAAGATATGTTCATGCACCTTCCTACCACCCCTGAATCCTTCTCTTTTGATTTTGATGGCACAAGGTTTTCTGTGTGGGGTTCCCCATTAGCCATCACAGTCTCCAGAACTCTATTCCCCAGGCAGCTACTTGTTTTGCCCATCATGTTGGGCAAGGAATCAATACCTGGAGAGTTGGAGACACCCCCCCCATGACCCTCCAGGTCAGAGGATGTGATGTTGCTGGAGTTGTCAGGCTCAGAAATATACGCTTTCTAGGCTGTCCTTCTCACCTCCTTCCTGTAAGAGCAAGCAGATGTAGAATAGGGCAATAGGCCTTTAGATAATGTACAGTACACTGTCTGTTGGCTCCACACCTTCTCAAGAGATATCAGACCAGCCTGTCATAATAAGGCCTCAGAAGGCATCAGCATGCCTGATTCTGAGAGAACTCTGGGCAAACATGCCAAAGAAAAGTTCTCCAAGGTCCTGCCCAGCAATTTCCCACATTGGATTGGACTTATTGACTCATCTGGACTCTCACGCTTTACCAGATACCCAACCCCCAAGAACTTAGCCCAAAAGTAGCAAGAACACTCAGGAGCATTTCATTTGCTGTGGAACCATCTCAGAGCTTCATAGTCAAGAAACACCTGGTGCCCTCTAGATCAGTGGTTCTCAACCTTGGGTCCCCAGATGTTTTTGGCCTACAACTCCCATGATCCCTAGCTCACAGGACCAGTGGTCAGGGAGGATGGGAGTTGTAGGCCAAAAACACCTGGGGACCCAAGGTTGAGAAAGGCTGCTCTAGATGTTTTGGACTACAGTCCCTATCAACCCCAACCAGTCCAGTCATGTTCTTATTAGTTTCTGTATCATGCAGCCATACTGGCTGGGGCTGCTGAAGTTTAGTCTAGAACATTGGGGGGGCACCGGATTGGCAAGGATTTCCCTACATAGACTCACAAGACTTCCCTAGGCCAGAATTTCAGTTGGTTCAGGCATGGATGGGGTGGGAGGATGTTTCCTGCTGCAGACACTTTTCTGATCTTATATATTTTTTTCCCCTGCCAGAGATAATGAATGCAAAAAGATGGTGAATCGATTGATTCCGGGTGAGAAGCCTGGAATATATACAAAAGGTAACTTCAAGTGGCTCATTCCTCCCTTAGGCTGGAGGGAATTTATAATATTTTACCCACCTCCATGGGAAACCAATCTGTTCTCAAACCACCTCTGCTCTCTCTACCTCCCTCCCCACCAGTTAGGGCTTCCTAATGGGGGCTTAATATTGCAACTCGGTCCTTGAGATAATCACAGATAGGTTGTTGGCAAGAGACTTTTTAAACTTTGGATTCCTCTGAGAAGTGATAAATACGGATTCAGTGAGGGGAGGGGATATGGGTTGTCAGCATTTTGATTCCAGTAACATTTTGAGGATGCTGCAAAAAGTGATAAAACGTTTAAAAACTAAAACCAAACCAAACATGGCATGATGAAGTCTTTGCCCATATACAGGGAGGGGGGTGGTAGCAGTGGTAGTAGAATCAGTTCTTCATGGGACCGTCCTACTCCAAAGGATATAAGGTAGGAGAGGCATCCAGCGCAGCTAGACATCTTGAATGCCCTTCTTGAGGCCCATGCTTTAAATGGCTGCCTCTGGACATTCAAATGGGTCAGGTTATTTATTGTATTACACTGTTTAAAATGAACATCGTTCAATACAGTTTTGAAAAATCAAATGAAGCTATGCCCTTTTGTTCTTCTGAAGCATGAAACAACGTAGTCAAGGAGATCCCAGTTATTCATGTATATTATTCATCTTGCATGCAGTCTTGTTTTGCCTACTTTTAAATAACTTCTTGTACAATTTTCATTGTTTAGAGGGTTCCTGTACAAACCCCCCCCCCCGCTTCTGGTACTTTTCTCCTTTGTTTTGGAAGAGTTAGCTGGGCAACATACAAATGTCCTTACTTGTTTTTCACTTGGGCATATATATATGCACCCTTAAAGGATATTTTTTGTGTTTCTTTTTCACATCTAGGGCAGAGCACCTTATATTTCGTGAAAGCAGATTACAGCCGTTATCACATGGTTTTCGTTGACACAACAATAATGAAGGCCCTTCATCTTTATAGTATGTGCCATTGTGGATGGGGGGGAGTGCACTGGTGTGTGTGTTTGCAAGGAGTGTGTGCTATTGGATGTGTCAGGTATACCTGCCAACTAAAAATATAGAAAGACAGTGGTTATTTTTCTTTAGACCCACCAGAAATGTTCCACTCACTGAAGTGCAATCTGAACTGGAAATGAAGTTGTTGGGGAGAGGAAAATATGTCTCTTTCTTCATTTCCACTTAAATCATCTTCTCCCAAGTTCTTCTTTAGAAAGAAAAATGGCAGCATTTGGTTTTGTAACATTCATTTGAATGAACTGTATGAGCTAAAACCTAAGAAAATGGAACTTGCTTGAAGTCGTGGCGCTAATGCAGTGCTTCAGCTAGTACTGCTCTTAGTCCTCATTGTTACAAAACATTCTCCATAGTTCAGTTGGTTAGAGTGTGGTGATGATAATGCCAAGGTTGTAGGTTTGATGCCCTTATGGGACAGCTGCTTATTCCTGCATTGCAGGGGGTAGGACGAGATGATCCCCAGGGTCCCTTCCAACCTGACAGTTCTAGGATTCTATGACCTCTGGAGAAAAATGACATGGAGAACATAGCCAAAGTTTTTGAGCAGATCCAGGACTTAAGATGGACTGAGCATCATCTTGAATCAATGTGAACTGTAGAGGCTTGGACACTGCTGCATTATAAAAGAACTTTAGATCACTTTTCTCAAATTCTGAATATTCAGCAGCATAATACATTATATGAATTGGCTTCATGCACAAGCAGAAGCCATTCATAAACTATATGCCACTGAAGATTTTATGAATTAAAATGCATCTGACCTGTTTTCAGAAATATGTCTGCTCCACATTATCTGCATCACCTGGATTTCAAGGTTGTGAGCAACCCTTTGTATTTTAGTGCTGTGGTACAGTTAGCATTTGAAAGATATATTCAGCCAGCACAGCTAGATATTTTAGAACAGATTTATGCGCTATTATACATTGTGTCTGCATTGTTATGGTAGGTTAAATGGTACTTTCTATTGGCCTGTTCCCCTTTTAAGGCTGTCCATGTTCCCCTTTTAAAGCTGTCCATCCTTTTGGTGGATGCGGGTGGTGCTGTGGGTTAAACCACAGAGGCTAGGGCTTGCTGATCAGAAGGTTGGTGGTTCGAATCCCCGTGACGGGATGAGCTCCCATTATTCAGTCCCAGATCCTGCCAAACTAGCAGTTTGAGAGCACGAAGTGCAAGTAGATAAATAGGTACAGCTGCAGCGGGAAGGTAAACAGCATTTCTGTGTGCTGCTCTGGTTCACCAGAAGTGGCTTAGTCATGCTGGCCACATGACCCGGAAGCTGTATTCCTGTGCCCTTGGCCAATAATGTGAGATGAGCGCCTCAACCCCAGAGTCATCTGCAACTGGACCTAATGGTCAGGGGTCCCTTTACTATCCTTTTGGTGGCGAATCCCATGCGTTAATTAATTAATTAATTAATTATACCCTCACATTTTTCCCTGACAGAGACTCAAGGTGGCTTACAAATTAAAAATAAGAAAAAACATAGAAAAAGCCATCATTAAAAACAATTAAGCATTGATAGAATTAAAACATGAAAGACTACTTATAAAAACAGGTCCCTGAAACTGGGATTATGGTAGATACCATTACATTTTGTCAGACATGTTTTCTGCATAAAGGCATACTCTTTTACCCTAGGAATGTTTCCAGTATCCATTCATTTATGGTAGGTCATAATAATACTACTCACAAAAATAAATGATTGGTTTCAGGATTATGCAGGTTTTGTGTACTCAAACCAAGGTTATAACAGATTAACATTGAAGGATAAATAACCTAAATGGCTTTCTGTGAGCTTTGTTCAGAAAGTTGCATGTTATGAAGCTCATTAGATTCTCACTAAGTTTGTTAAATATTTATTAATCTTTCACTCAATCATGATAGCAGCAAATAAGGCTTTATCTTATACCTCTTTAACTATGTGCACCCAACCCAAAATATGTCTGTTCCTTCCCCCTCTCTTTCCTCATCCTAATTCTTAATGTGACATCTTTTTGGGGTCTGAAGTTAGGGAACCAGAACCATCAGCTGACATAATAGACATATACAAGGCTGTCGCCAAATCCCTGGATTTGCCAGCGGACAAGATTATCTATCTACACAGATCTGGTAAGAGTAGTTGTCATCTTATGACCTATTATTTCTCAATTTGGGGTAAATAATGGTGAAGTTTCTCTTTCTTTCTTTCTTTCTTTCTTTCTTTCTTTCTTTCTTTCTTTCTCTCTCTCTCTCTCTCTCTCTGTTCCTTCCTTCCTTCCTTCCTTCCTTCCTTCCTTCCTTCTTTCCTTCCTTCCTTCTCTTTCTAAAAATGGAACACAAATTAGATTAAGTTAAGGAACATTGCATTAAACAACATATGTAAAAACAGCCAAACAGCCAAATAAAAGAAAGGCAGATAAAAATATATACTGTATTTTTAAAAATATTCAATTGCATCAGCCATCACCTGATCAAGAGTAGTATGTCTAATGGAACAGGTGAATCCAAATAGCCCTGATAGAAGCAACTGGTGATGGATCCAGGGAGATCTGTCCAGCAGGGCATTCCACAGTCAGGCTACTTGAATATAAAAGACCCGCCTCCTTTACCTCAATCAGGCATTGTCCCTATTAGCTAGTTACCAGGTTTCTGCCCCCTGGTCCCAATTCCACATCTTCCTATGAGACATTATCTTTTTTTCTTCCACAGATCCATGCCCAGATGCATGAGTTAAATCCTGGAACCTGGGGTTGTGTGTGACTGCAAATATGGCTCAAATTTGTAAAACCATCCCATTTGGATAGAAAATCAACTGGATCACATCCCTAGAGATGTAACAAAATGAACCAGGCAGAAGAGTCGGTGGAAGAAGAATGGAAGAAATTTAAAGATTACTTACAGAAATATTGTAAAATTAATGAATGTTAGAATGATGACGGATTGAAGTTAAGTGGTTTAATGTGGTAATGGTATAAAAGAATATGGAAAAATTGGTTTTTAATATCTAAAAAAATTAATGTTATAATATATCAAGATTAAAGATCAGAATTAAAAAGGAGGGAAAGGAATCGCTGAACTAACAAATTGAATTAGAATACAAAAGAGGGAGGTATGAGGAGGTCCAGGAAACAAGTAAATGTAAAAGAAGTGATGAAAAGATGGAATTGTTTTTAAGTGCTTTTTCTTTTTTGTATTTTGTATTTTTCCTTTTTATTGTTAATTTTCTTATTAATGTGATCTTTTTCTTTTGAAATTTTAATAAATATCATTAAAAAAAAAAGAGATGTAACAAAATGGTGTATCAATGCCACTGTCAGTCATTTAATTGTATTGAAAACCCATCAAAACCAATTAAAACCATCAAAGACAAAAATGTGTTCAATTTTATTTTAATCTATTTATTTTTAATTGGCAAATTTATATGCCGTCTTTCATGACACTGCAAGACAGTTAACACAATCACAATTGCAAAAATGCAAGATATGTAAAATGCAAAAAAGGAGAGAAAAAACAAGTTGCCATTATAGCTTGAATAATATATATATTTTTTAAAAATAATAATCTTAAAGGAATTCTCAGTTCTTTGTGGTTTCTCTGCAGTCAGTCACACAAAAGTGGGTGTGGCCAGAGGCAAAAGTGGCCAGAGCATCTTTGTATTGAAGGGCCATAGCTCTTGCCTTCCATGCAGAAGGACCTGGGTGTCACCCCAGCTTCTTCTGGGGAGGAAAAAACTCAAACACATGGCAGAGTTCCCAAAAATAGACCAGAGGCAATTGTACTTCATCCAGCAGAGCTTTTACTTGCTACTGAAGGCAAATGAACATAATGGTCACTAATCCAGTACATTCAGGATTGGCACAGTCCATAAAAAATCCAGTTGCAGTACTTACAATAAAACTTACAAAAACTTATAACAAGACTAAAACTTAAAAACACTACAGTATACAGAAAACAGAACACTGGAAGAAAACAAAAGAGAGGGAGAGAGAGAGAAAGTGAGTGAGACTCAGGCTCCTCCTGGTCTTACTATTATAATCAGCACAATCTTGACAAAGATAACAGAACCAGTTTAAGCCAACTGTAGCTCAGCTCCCCAGCAGAAATAACCCAAACAAAAACCTCATTCCTGTTTCCTTCACATAGAAAGAAAACTTTCTTTCACAAAGAGAAGAAACCTTCTAGAACCCTCTTGAAACTAATCAGAATAGGAAAGACCTCTACACATCAGATCAATACTTTCTGTACTAAGAAATGCAAACTGACAGTGCAGTCACTGGATATCTCCTGGTAGGGCTGGGAATGCCCCCTGCCTTAAATTCTAGAGATCCACTGTGAATCCATGAAGAAAGTTCCAAGCTTCATGGACCTAGTGGTCTGATTCAGCATAAGTCGCTTCCTAGGCTACATTCCAGCCATGCAAAAGTCAGAAAACATTATCTCTATCCAAGATACCTAAAATGATCAAAAGGCTAGAGCACCTTCCCTAAAAGTTGATCTCCTATTGAGACAGACAGACTGCCATTGCAGGGATGTGCCACTTCCCCTCATCTTGTTATCACCTTTACCATTGTGTTTTGAGTCTGGATCTTCAGACCACCAAAAACGCTGAATTAAGCTGCAATCCAGCCAAGCAGAGGTTTAAGGTTCACACACACACACACACACACACACACACACTACTTCTTCATCCAGGCAATTAAGAGGCAATATCACCATTTGATAATACATTCCAGCCATGCAAAAGCACTTGAAAAGAGTGGGAATTAGGACCATTAACAAGTCTGGTTGGGGATGTGGTACTGCCTGGGGAGAGTTTCAATGGAGCCCTGCACCTGAAGTTCCACATTAATGGCACCATCTCCATTTCTGCAAGCTGTTTTTTCTAATATAATGCCATTCTCATATACTTTCGATGCACACCGTCTGCTTATATATGCATTTCCATACATATTGTTTGGATGGAGAACTGCTGTTCCACCATCTATTGTTCTCTAATGGTGATCGTGGGGGAGAGTCCCACACCTTGGTGCATGTTACCTAGCAACCAGCACCACACAGTACAAGACATTTTGGTCAATACTGGGTGGAGCATCTATTTTCACTGGCAGCTGGGCAGTCAGTAGCTCCTGTCTTTTTTAGTGGCAAAGGAGCCTAATGAAGTCTCTGGGGAACAATGCTGTAAAATGTCCACTCACTGGGCCTTACATGTTACTGTTGCTATACTGGCTGTATTATATATTGATTTTGGCAGCTCTGGCGTCTGAAGAAGAATCAGGAAGCATATTGCTGAGCAATCTCAAAGAGTGAAACACCAGGAATGAACAAAAAGCAGCATGTGAAACAATTCTTATTTTGTGCACCTTGCTGTATAACAGAGCTTCTGTTAATGGGGGAAGCCCTCATCTATTCAATAACTAAGCTGAAGAAGGAGCCTCTGTGATCATTAATGAGATAAAAATAAAAACAGAGAGCTAAGTGTTGTGATTTTTTGATATATTTTTTTAAAGAGACAAGAAAAAAAGAAAGAAAGAGAACTAATTTGGTTGCTCTGAAAGGTTGTTTGTTCTACTGATGCTCCAGCTCCCAGATTCCCTTACGGTCAATGCTGGGGAAAGAACATCATGGCCGCCTGTTTTTCATTCCTTACCTCTAAATATTCCATTATATCTATTATATTCCTTAGGTTAGCTTTCATCTGTCTTCCTGGAAGAAATCCTTATTGATCTTGATTAATTATTTCTAGCAAGGTGCCTTTCATTCTGTTAGCTAGTATATTTGCAAATAATTTATAATCATTATTTAATAATGAAATTGGTATGTACTTTTAACCTCCTCCAAGTCTGTTCCTTGCTTTGGAATTAAAGGCCTCTTTCCAAGTTTTTGGTATTTGTCCTGCATTTATAATTTGATTAATAACATTTTGTAGTGGTTGAATTAGATAATTTTGCAATTCTTTAAATAATATTTCGCTGTTGATCCTTCTGGTCCTAGTACTTTACCTATTTTTGCTTGTTTAATGGCATCTGAGATCTCTGTAATATTAACAGGTGCATTTAATATTGTTAATTTTTCATTTGGAATTTTTGACACTTTGTCTTAAATAACTTTCAATTTCTGCTTTCTTTACTAGTCCTGCTCGGTATAAATCTGTAAAATATTTTATAAATTGTTTCCTAATTTCTTTCGGATTATCTGTTACTTTCTCTTCCATTTTAATCTTATTTTTCAGATTATTTGTTTTCCTTTTATTTATTTGCAAATAAACAAATCAATCAAAATACTTCCAGCCTGCCCACCAGAAATGACGCATAGGTCAGTCCAGGTGGAGGGTTCCCAAAACTTACATCACATAGGGTGACCCCCGCAGGGACCGCTGTCTGGGGAAACACCATTGGCCCTGGCCCTGCCTGGGCACACAGACATGACCACTCCACCCTGGATCCCTTTAACAGGATACCCCAGCGTTTGGAGCGGCAGGCGGAGGCTATAACCACCACTCCATCTAAGATAAAGAATTGCCCCGATGCCCAACCACCAATTGAGGAAAATGCTTACTGCCAAACTACTTACCGGTACATCTGCATCCAAGCCTGATACCTACTACAATGTCTGCTAACCAAATATTGTTTCCTGTGGAGGAAAGGTGCGTGCCATCATGTCTAAACAGAGTCTCTTCCAAGAATTTAATATTGGGGTGCTGAATCACCTAGCCACCCCACTGCAATATGCGGCACCTAATTGCACAGTTAGGGACACGGGTGGTGCTGTGGGTTAAATCACAGAGCCTAGGACTTGCCGATCAGAAGGTCAGCGGTTTGAATCCCCACGACGGGGTGAGCTCCTGTTGCTCTGTCCCTGCTCCTGCCAACCTAGCAGTTCAAAAGCACGTCAAAGTGCAAGTAGATAAATAGGTACCGCTCCGGCGGGAAGGTAAACGGCGCTTCCGTGTGCTGCTCTGGTTCGCCAGAAGCGGCTTAGTCACGCTGGCCACATGACTCGGAAGCTGTACGCCAGCTCCCTCGGCCAATAAAGCGAGATGAGCACCGCAACCCCAGAGTTGGTCACAACTCGACCTAATGGTCAGGGGTCCCTTTACCTTTATCTTTAATTGCACAGTTGATTCCCACTGGGTCAGGGTTGCGCCATTGATGTCACTCAAGCATATCGGACCAGCCAGGGCATATGGTGGAGTACAAGTTGTGCAGCATCTGCAAGTCTTTGTTTATAGCCCACGTTAAGTCAATTCCCTTGCGTTGGCCCAAATCGTTTCCCCCCAAATGGATGATCAAGGTGTACGGGAGCCCTTGTGACTCGATTCTCACCATGATCAAGGGCATAAACTCTTGCCATTTCATGCCCTGGCGGCCCAGCCAATGAATCCCATTGGGAAGCTAAGTGCAGCTCCCAAGCCAGTGGTGATGGAGTGCATCTGTGCCCAATGCACAATGCTGTGCCCGCATATCCAAATGTTCTTGCTAGACGACCCTGGAATGAAATTGGGGTAGAATAGTGTGTACGTTATTGTTTCTGACCACGTATATACCTCTTGTAGGCCTCCAACTGCCATCTGCCCATGGTCTTTATGTCCTCAGCAGAGGCACCCAAGCTCCAGGCAATAGTGGCTGCCCCAATTCTGAATGAATGTGTGGCAAACTGCTGCGCTTGCAGGCCACACTCGGCAACTGCCTTACGCAAGACCCTAGACTAGAGAATTGATGCCTGACCGGGGGGGATCCATTTTCATGAATGAAAAGGGGGCCTTGAACATCGGGGCACAGCTGCAGAAATCACCTTTCGTCCTTAACAGGGCATGGGCCAGCACTCCCAAATGTGGGGAGGCAGATGGCAGCACCCTTGGCTAGCTGGTCTGTTTTGGATGCCTGGATGTTAATGGACAAGGAGGATGGGGTAAGAGCAGAGGTCGGCAAACTATGGCTCAGGGGCCGGATGCAGCCCCCCAGGCTCATAAATCTGGCCTGCGGACCCTGCCACCCGCTAGTCAGTCCCCGTGCGCTGTGGATGCCTTGCTGCGCAGGGGCTGACTTCCGCATCGCTGGCACAGCACCTGGGTGGGCAGTGACACTGGTGCAGCTTTGGATTGGCTGCAGGAAGTTCCTGCAGCCAATCCAAAGCCTTGTCGCCCGCAAGCTGAGGTAAAACCGGCGCAGCCATGGATGGAGAGGCCGGTGGGCGGGCGGTGGGTCTGGGCTGCGCCATGGGCATTGTGACGGGCGTGTCGCGGGGCTTCAGCCAGAGCTTGGTGCGCCTGGCGCCCGGCTCGGCGCTGCTGTTGGTGGCACGCTCGGTGGCCGCGCTGGAGCAGCTGGAGGGCAAGCTGCACACCGCCTGCCCAGTGCTCCACGTGCGTGGCCTGCCTGCTGACCTGGCCTCGGATGACAGGCAGCAGCGCATGGTTCACGCCATCTGGGAGCTCCGTGGTTACGGGACAAT